AATTATTTTTGTGTTGGTTAGGTCTTATCGAGGAAGGCTATAGGCTATAAAACATCGCCCTGTGTGAGAAACGTGAAGAAATTTAGAAAAAATATGGGTTTCTCGAGACGTACGCTGCAAAAAAGATTCAGACGGAGATACCCAAAAAAGCTATGTATGAAGAATGATTAGTCTAAATGTCTAAAAAATATCTGCGCTGCTTAACCTAACTTTCAAGACCGACAAGAAGGGAGGGACGCGACCGACGTCGTAGGTAACCGCTTAAGTTTATAAAGTAGAGAGGTGTTTGCAAAAACTAATTTGGATACCCAAAATAACTACCATACGCGGACAAAGTCGCTGACACAGCTAGTGTATGTATGTATGTATAAAGGTTAAACACGTTGATTGTCATTGGTCTAATTACGAAAAGAGCTGAATACGAATTTCAGATAGACAATGTTTCAGTCGAAGAGAGCACATAAGCCTAAATAAAAACTATCTGTAAAACAGACACAAAAATGTGTTCGGTCGAATCGAAATTATAAGATACTATACGTGATCTCACTAATACAAGTAGTGATAGTAATTCAGATGCGTCTTGTTCTTAACTAAACGTCGTAATTTAGTAAGCGTTCTTACGAGTAATATTGAAATAGGAATAAAGATCGACATTTAAACATACATTAAGGTTTTTAAAATTACTATGATACTTAATTTATAAAATAAGTATCATAAACAGTGTTTAGTAGTTGTCAAGATGGCTCACAGGCCATCTTCTATCTATTTTCATCAGCTAATTGACACTTTCAAATATGATCCATTTTCTTTAAAATTATAAATTGAAATGAGTAAATATGAATGTAATAAAAATAAAAAGGAATCACTACCTACATAATATAAAATAAAGTGACTTTTTCAGTCCCTATGTACGCTTACATTTTTAAAACTATGCAACAGGATTCAAGAGGAAGATTTGTACACACAAGAGTGTATTTATTATCAGCATTGCACCCAAGACAAGCCAGGGCGGGTCGCTAGTAATTAAAATTGCAAAATTCGAGAAATTTTAATTATTACTTAAGAAAAATACATCCGAAATATTACGCGGGTCATTTAAAAAACATTAATTACACATCTGGATCTCGTTCTGGTCATTATGTCACATTCGAGTTGCAAAGCTTTTTGTCAGACCGAAATCGCCGTTTTGAAATTCTGACCAGTGTTGTGATAAGATCGTTCTGTCATTTCGCGATAACTACCTACTACTTACCTAATTACGTTACGATTTTTATACGCCCGTATTTTATTGTCTATTTGACAATTCCAAATTTACAGGTTGACATTTTTATTTTCATTTAGTACGAAACGACATAATATAGATAACCAAAATTAACCAACACATTTGCCTTTTTTCTTTTTTATAGTAATTTTTACACAATACATAAATAAAACATTATTAAATTTAATTTGTTTGATTTAACACAGACAAAAATTAAAAAATATATATACCTATCATAATCTTTAAAAGCTTAAATAAAACTATTAAACTTAGCCCTTAATTTATAGTTTATAAAGTTTGTACATCAATAATAATTGGTACCATAATAAACAACTCTCATCTCATCAATTAATTAAATACCAGTAATGTAGCTAGACGGACAAATGCCCCGAAGGCCCTATCACTTATTTTCGCGTAACTTATAAGAGCCTCCAAAAATTTAGATAGGAACAAAACAGTTCATTAAATACTTAGAAAAAAATTTTTTATTTACCTTTATTCACTGTCTGTAGTTTAAATTTAATATAATAAATCTTTAACGATTTAAAACGCGATATATGCGAGACCGACCGCCATTACCACGGCTGCCAACTCCGAATTATCGGGCCGAGGTTAAAATAATTTTCGTGTTTTAAACCGTTAAAGTGTTTTATTCATACCCTTTACTCTTTTCAAATATGAGGGTACCAGGGCCCCGTAAGCTCCGGGGCCTGACAACAGGACCTAAGTGTAAGTACATCACTGTTAAATAATTATTAGAAGTTTATGATGAGCAGATAACCTGTAGGTCAACCCAGACTGGACTAAGAACTATTGTTATATAATGTTTAACTCCTAAGATCATTCTTACGCAAATCGTACCAGTTTACCATTTTTGGCGATTCCTTGTTCTATTCAAACTTTCTCGGATAAATATGGATTCTATTTTAGCTTACTTATGACGGCATTGTAATTTATTTAAATGAGCACATTACAATCCTTACTAATATTATAAATACGAAAGTAACTCTGTCTGTCTGTCTGTCTGTTACTCTTTCACGCTAAAACTACTGTACAGATTTGAATGAAATTTGGTACACAGATGGTCTAGACCCTAAGAAAGAACATAGGCTACTTTTTATTGCGAAAAGGGGGTTGTAAGGGGTTAAAAGGGGGGGTGAAAGTTTGTATGGAAATTCGTGGTTTTTGAAGCTAGAACAATGAAACTTTTTTCTTTGGCTTTTTGGGAATAGGAGTAGGAGTGGGAGTGGGAGTGGGAGTGGAGTGGAGTGGGATGGGGTGGGAGTGGGAGTTGGAGTTAGATTAGGAGTGATGTGAGATGAAAGTGTTAGAGCAAAGAAAAAAAATAAAACAAAGATTGGCTGCGATAAATGCGCAATTACATAAATTAATAAACAGCCTAAAAAATTAAAAATTCTACCTCAAGTCACTATTCTACGCGAACGAAGTCGCGGGCACAGCAAGTAAGGTTATATTTAACTATTATATGCTTAATAAAGTATTTCTTATGAGCTTCAAAAGTAATAAATGTTTTTATTATCACTTTTGACTTTGGATATTCGGAAATTCACAGGCTGAAACTAAAACGTTAAAACCGCACGGACTTTTTTTCATCTGTCGACGGAAGTTCGTGACCCGGTTGGAATGTTGATATTCCTATCACCCATTTTTCCAAGTCCAACAAGTTTAAACCGGTGGGGATCAAACCCACGACCCGTTGATTATTAGCTATACATTACTTCCATAAGACCAACTAGCTCGTTTTTAAAACTTAATGCAAATCGTAAGTCAAACATAATTTCTATCTGCACAAATGATACCGCGACATAAGTGTACATATATTTCGATCAAACGTAGAATTTGCTTTTATAACGTCACATTAATATTATATGGCAACATTTATTTATTTGCATAATTACAGGAAGAGTTCGCTTCGAAGGGTCATAATGTCATAAGCACGAAGCAATTTGTAGTAATTCTGAACAACACGAATATTATAAGCTAAATTATACTTTCGTTCTGCAAAAACTAAATGTCACTATCTATATCTATGCTACTATATAAAGCTGAATAGTTTGTTTGTTTGAACGCGATAATCTAAGGAACTGCTGGTTTGAATTGAAAAAATATTTTTGTGTTGGTTAGAGCGTTTATCGAGGAAGGTTATAGGTTAAAACATCGCGCTGTGACTAATAGGAACGAAGAAACAGCTGAAAATATAAAAAAAAAGGCGGAAATTAATAATAATAATAAACTCTTTATTGCACAAACATAGACATAAGAACATGGATACATAGAATTATATATAAAAAATAAAACATGTTTGTGCAAAGGCGGCCTTATCGCCTATGGCGATTTCTTCCAGGCAACCTTTGCATGTAGAAATAAGAAAAAAGAAATTATTCATCTCTGGGTTTTCGATGCGTACACTTCGAAAACGGAAGACACTCGAAAAATATGTGGAAAATTATTCTTGATTTTACTTTAAATGACCTAAAAACATTCTCGCGGCAATCTATTGTCTATCTCTTATGATTAACTTGAAAGAATGACGGGACCCGAAAGACGAGCGACGGGATGCGACGATGTCGTGAGTAGCATCTTAAATTTATAAGACGAATAGGAGGTTTGGAAAAACAATTTTGGATGTCCAAAATATATATTCTACGCGGACGAATTCGTTGACATAGCAAGTAGCGAATAAAACATCGAATTTCTATTTTATAACTGCGTCTAAACTTTTTTTACTTTTATTGGAGGTTGTTGTAATTCTTATGCTCTGTGGAAATGTTCGTACGCATATCTTAAACAACTTCGGGCATTAATGATTGTACTTAAAAATGTATTGAAAGGGAAGAAATAACATTCTATCTTTTCGTATTAAAATTACAATTACCTGTTTTGACGTTCATAAGTGTACTAAGCTACCTACATGAATAAATGATTTTTGATTGATTGATTCCATCTGAAATTCGGTTGTTAAAAACATTCTTAACGGCTTAAATGGCGAAATGTGTTAGTTTTATTTATTTAAGTTATTTTATGTTTTGAACTGTTAAAAGTGTTTTATTTTCTCGCTTGAACGACAGACAATACGCGTATAATTGTGCGTAAAAACATAGAATAATACAATAGAATTTAATATTTTTCACTTGTTATTACACACGATAGAGCAGCAGCGCGGAACGCAGTGGTTGCCGGTTCAGTCTCGCCCGTGTCAAATTTTCAATCTAAATATATTTTTTAGTAGTATGTAAGTAGTTTTTTTGCGACATTTAATTGTTTCCTTGCATAATATTAGAACTTCAATAACGAGGTGACAATCACGCGCTAAGTGAGAAAGTGCCCCGATAGCCTCAGATCATTGTTTTCACCGTAGATGAATTCGTTTGGGTGTCATTAAAATCATAATTCTCGTATGACCGAAGGCCGAATCTTCGGAAGAGTCAGGGAGAGAGGTGTAGACCAGTCGCTGGTATATAAACGTTAAGATCGTGGTACAGAGCATCATACAAGCACGCCACCTCCGCGAGTCAACATGAAAGCGTTCTTGGTAGGTATATGTGTGTAGTGAAAGTGATCTGTGACCTGTGTGTGACCTGTAGCGCTTCCTTATGGAACTGTGAGTCAGCGCACGCGCCGACCGCACCGTGTGCTCTCACGATTCTCGCACTGTTTCCCTGTTCTTGCTGCATTTGACGGATGCATGATTTTTTTTTGGCAGGTTAACGGTGGGTCGATGTTTATGTGGTTTGTTGTGATTCAGGTATTAGCGGCCGTTGCGGCGATCGGCTCGGCGAGGCCCGAGGCGGGATACAGTTACAATGCACCAGGCGGCGGTGGTCTGGGAGGTCACGGCGGCGGCATCGGCGGAGGCTTCGGAGGTGGTCACGGCGGTGGTCACGGGGGCGGTCTGGGAGGCGGATTCTCCTCCGGAGGCTTGAGCTCCAGCAGCTTTGGTATTGGAGGCGGTCTAGGAGGTGGAATCGGTGGAGGAATCGGCGGAGGATTCTCTTCAGGTGGCTTCTCCTCTGGTGGATTTTCGTCAGGAGGCGGCGGCGGATTCGGCGGCGGCTTCGGCGGTGCTCCCATTGTCCAGAAACACATCTACGTCCACGTCCCACCCCCAGAACCTGAAGAACAGCGCCCGCAGATCATCTCCGGTGGTGCTATCCCCCAGAAACACTACAAGATCATCTTCATTAAGGCCCCAGCACCCCCTGCGCCCGTCGCCCCCATCATCCCCGCTCAAGCCCAAAACGAAGAGAAGACCCTTGTCTACGTCTTGGTCAAGAAACCCGACGAACAGCCCGACATCACCATTCCAACCGCCGCCCCAACTCAGCCCTCAAAACCAGAGGTTTACTTCATCAAATACAAGACCCAGAAGGAAGGTGGCTCCATCGGTGGTGGTGCTATTGGCGGTGGAATCGGCAGCGGCATTGGCGGTGGTATCGGAGGTGGTGTGTCTGGTGGTAGCATCGGTGGCGGTCTTTCCCTTGGCGGCGGTCACGGCGGCAGCATCGGTGGTGGACACGGTGGCAGCATCGGCGGTGGTAGCATTGGTGGTGGCCTCATCTCTGGTGGTCACGGATCCTCAGGCGTCAGCAGCTCATACGGTCCCCCCGGTCAATCCGGCCCATACTAAACGCGTTAGCGCGCCCCCATGTGATACCTAGCCGGCGACATATAGTTTTAAGTAGAGAAAAAAATTACGGTGCCTAAATGTATTTATGTAAATAGTAATTTTAATGTCTAGCTATAGTTGTATTATAAAATATTTTTGCATAAAAATATCGATAAAGAAACTAATACGATCTTTCCTTTGCCCAATCACGTGTAAGCAAATGTTTGTATGAAAGCGAGTTTGATGGGCTCTTTCACATCCTTGCATTAACACATCTGAGAGACAGGTGAAGTGAGGTAGAAAGCGCTGCGCGAGCGTGGGCGATCGTTGCGTAATGCGTGACCCCTCGCTTGCATAATAGAAAGAGGCATCTTTCAACATACAGTAAAATAAAGCTAAATTTTTATTACGTAAATGACTACCATTCTAAGCAATTTTATTGCGTATACCTTGACATTTAAGATTTCCCTTTTATAAATTAGCACGTTTTGCCCAAAGTGTATGGGAAAATTTCGTAGTCCAGTGTCGATTTGTAATGTCAACATTGTCTTTCGTTGAAAACTTGAAGATTCTTCGGGTTCGTTAAACTTTTGTTATGCAATGTAGAGTTTGGATAGAGCTGTTTCGGTTATTGAGTCGTTTAGTGCATTTTGTACGCTTACAATAATAATGATACTTTGATATCATTCCAGTAATCGTTTGTAAAGGAAACTTCGAGCGTTAAAGTCTTAAGACACTGTTTAAGTTATACGACAAGCAATCGATTTATATATTAAAACATAATTATAATGAATTTGTAACAGCTGGAGAATTACTTTTTTCGGTATTACAAAATAATGGATTTTATGTAGGTAGTGGAAACGAAATTAATTCTGCAACAAATACATAATATTATAGACATTTCAACAAATTCGTAATATCAATTTTATGAATAGTGATTTTCCTTATAACCCCATACCGTCTCTATAGCGAAATGGTTAAAGTGTTGCCTTCTTGTTTGTCCTGGGTTCGAATTGAAACAATAAACTGTTACGGTCCGGTAGAGCACAGGACTCTAATCCTTGCCTTTAAATAAACCTATCAGTGACGGACACACATGCCCCACTTGGGGATAATGGGAGTGCACTTACACTTCTTATAACCCCTTTAGAAGCCATAACTTTATAGCGTCGAATTCAATATCAATAATCTAACTTTAAGAGCCGTGTTTTATGATATTACATATTCATTACTTTTGCCTTACAATGAAGTGTTAAGAAACACAGTCGTTGCCCAATGATGACCATACATTATTTGTAACAATCTGCTATTTTACGCAATATCCGTCTGTGCTTTGATCTCTGGTTTATTAACCTGTTGTTTGTATCGGAGGTTATATTCATCTTCAGAAATATTGTAATGTTTCTGAAGATGAATATAACCTCCAAAATTGTATCTTTGGAATCATTATAACTTATTTAATTTTGACTTGTTACTGATTATGATAACTTATATGACTTAAACATTTGGTTTAGATTGAAAGATACACACAGGGACTCGAACTTAGCTCAATTATATGCGGCTTAGAGTCCCGTCATCAATAATTTTGTGTGAAACATAAACTTTAAATGTAGACATCTAACCTAACGTTTCATAAGTCTTTACATCGTTTAAACCCATAATTTATATATTTAATGTCTGTAGTTTACGCAAATAGTACACATTTAATAAAACTCTTTTGACGGTTTTAACTCGAAATACATAAGTTAAACTTATTTACAAACAATTTTAACTCTGACGTTTTGGAGGCTTTGCAGCCGTGATGGGGATTCTCTCGATAAAAGTGTTTTCTTTAAAGGTTAGTTATTAGTTGAATTTGTACACCATTTTTCAAATTTAATTAATAGTATTTTTTATTATACTGCAATGTCAATTACTTTGTTATTATAAATATATAATATCTTTACAAAATGAACGGTGAGAATCGCAACCACTAATCACATACATTAAAATTTAATGTAACGTACACATCTCCTTTAAGTAATTACGTCTTATCAACCTTTCTACTCGTTCAGACTCCATTAATCATCCTCAAGCTACACTTAGCGACCACATTAAGGCGTTATAACGTTATTACATTATGTCAAATATCATCGCTGGAGTTGATAACATTAAAGTCTCCATTTTATGCTAATTTACGATTTCACGTTACATTTTATTGTTAACTTTGCGCTTTGCAGACTGCAGAAACTTGTTAAGTTTGTAAATTAATAAAGGAACGCTTTTAAATCTATCTATACTAATATATAAAGCTGAAGAGTTTGTTTGTTTGTTGCGTTAATCTCTGGAACTACTGGATTTTTTGTTGGTTAAGGCATTTATCTAGAACGGCTGTAGGCATAATAAAAGGTTAAACATTCACAGAAGCGAAGAAACAGTGGGAACTCACAAGGTGAATAAAATAGCGAATTTTATTCACCATATTCACAATTTTATTGAGAGTTTTCGTTGCCTGCGTTGCGAAAATGGTTCAAGATACCTAAAAATAGGTATGAAAGAATGATTCTTCTTTAAATTATCTAAAAATATCTCCGCAGCAGTATAGGTCTATCTTTTTAGATAAACTTTAGCGACGGGACGCGAACGATGTCGTGGGTAACAGCGATTTTATGCGAACGAAGTCACTAATATAGCTAGTTCTAAATAATTGTGAAATCGTATTAATTCTTGAAGACTAGAAGCTAGACTTTACGTCAAATCTTAACCGTGGTTCAAATCGAGAGAGTCAAGAGAGTCGTAAAAATTAATACGAATTACAGTTTACTTTTCTTTGTAAATAACTGACTTGGCAAATGTTCTTTGCCCATATTATAAAGTATTAGCAGTGAACGCGACTTTGTACGCGTAGAATAGTTAATTTGGTTGTCAATATTGCTGTTACCCACGATGTCGACCGTATGATGTATTTCAACTAAATTAGAATAAACATAAATGATTCTTTTGAGTTAATCGTAAAAGATAGACATTTATTTTCGCGGCCAAGTGTTTAGATTATTGAAAGAAGAATTATTCTTTATTCAATCCTTTATACAATTACAAAAGCCTGCCTCGATAAATGCTCCGGCCAACACCAAAATATTTTTTCAATTCGAACCAGTAGTTCTCGAGGTGTAAGCGTTCAAACAAACAAATCCAGCTGTATAATATTAGCATAGAGAATGAGTTTAAGTAACGTTGAGATATGATTTCTTATTGAGCTTAATAAACTGTATTTAAACGAATTAATTTTAGATTATGCATACATTATTGTGATGTTTTATGGAGATGAATATGGTGAGGTGAATAAATTACAAAAAAACAACGTTTTTAAGTAAAAAAAGAAACTCGTAAATATCTCAAAGTACCAGGGCAGCATAATACGAGAGGATACTAAAACCTCGAAGCGGCGAAAGCATCATGACGCTACACTCTCACTCTCGGTATTTCAACCTCAGATTTCGGCAGCCCAAAGCATTTTGAAGTCTATCACGAAGAGACGAAAGTTCATTTTCGTGAATTCAATTGTGTTATGTAATGGGACCGGTCTGGATTTACATGTTTCGTAAGACGCAGGAAACTGACGCATTGTCTTAATATATTGACTTACATATACGGCGAGTAAATGGTCGATTTTCATCGCACACTGTGTAAGTCCATTCATTTTTGCAAGTGTGTTATGCGACTGACGAAGTTATTTACGTTCCAGAATTTAGATCAACCGCTTTTTCTTATTATAAGTGACTATTTTGGGTCATTAATTTTTCTCCTTTTTTACATATTAAGATCGACGAAACACTGAGTACGAAATTTACCGGAATAAAATATAATGTATGGATGGCGTAAAAAGAGTTTATTAAATTCAATTGCAAGAAGGTTTTAGGCGCATGAGTTTGTATGGACAATGTGACGCCTTGGTGCAAGCAACGTCATATTTGCGTAAACCTCTCCGTTTAGCCTAGATACCCTTCTAGTATAATAAAACTAAAGAGTTTGAAGGCGCTACTCTCTGGACCTATTTTTATGTTGGTGGAACTTCAGGCTGTGACCAATAGACGCAAAGAAACAGACGGATGTGTAGAAAAAATGGGGAATTGTCTTCATCTTTAAGGGTTTCCGTTAGGCTTAAGATTCCCAAAATATTTACGAAAGAAGTATTATTTTATAAACTACTAAAAAAATGTCCGCGCCAGTCTATGCCTATATTTTAAGATTCACTCACTAGAACCGTTTTATCGCAATTAAACTTCGTCGAAAGACTTTACATGGTAAACGAACGTTTGCCTGGTCAGCTAGTTAATAAAATAAAATGGTACAATGCTCATGGTGCATCCGTAACGAACGCAGATAAGACCTCGCGTGTTTCTTCAGTCATTGTCGGAAAACTTTCCGGGATCAGATCCGAATTAATTTCTTCTAGCGACGGAGAAAGTGTAAAGCTCCTTTCAGACTACATTATAATATAGTACATAATATTTCTCTATGCTCTTTTGTGGCAATTATCTATGCTATAACGCGATATTGTGGTGCCATATCATTTAAGAGTAGCCTGAACAGGGTCTTAGAATGTTTGCATTTCTTAAGAGAGAAACAATTAGCAGACGTCCGAGTTTTTATGCTTCACGACGGTACTATTGTGTAGAGCTAATTGTGCGGGTAATTAAGACTTTACTTGACAAAAGTGGGATAGAAAATGTACACGTTGCTAGCTTTTGGCACCATAGCGTGTAACGGATCACGCTTTGCCTAATAAAATGAAACACGTTTTAGTGTCCGTTAGTTGATGGTTTTTAAGGTAGAGTAATATTTATTTTCTCGTAAAAATTTTGACAATTCACTTAAAACGAGGAATACAATTATTTTATATACAATTTCGGCGTACCACAGGCTTTAACATTACTGTTTGAGATACTCTTCAACTTTATAGATTGGTATTAATACGAACTCTCTCAAATAGGATGTTTCGTTTTCCAGTGTTGGTAATTTTTATAGTATTTAGTTCATTT